GCCAATGATGAACCAAGCCAGAAATGAGGAAGAAGTAAAAACAAAGGCTCTGGAAATAGAGGGAGGTCATTCTCAAAATTAAAAGGAAAGAGTGACNGCCAGAAATGAGGAAGAAGTAAAAACAAAGGCTCTGGAAATAGAGGGAGGTCATTCTCAAAATTAAAAGGAAAGAGTGACAGCAAAATCAAGCGTTACTACTGCCACAAGGAATGACATATGAAAAGGGACTGCCATTAAAGAAAGCAAGATCTAGAGAACAAATGGAAATCTATAAATTCAGATCAAACAGGCATTGTCGAAGATGGTTCAGACAGTTANAAAAGGAAAGAGTGACAGCAAAATCAAGCGTTACTACTGCCACAAGGAATGACATATGAAAAGGGACTGCTATTAAAGAAAGCAAGATCTAGAGAACAAATGGAAATCTATAAATTCAGATCAAACAGGCATTGCCAAAGATGGTTCAGACAGTAANGCAAAATCAAGCGTTACTACTGCCACAAGGAATGACATATGAAAAGGGACTGCCATTAAAGAAAGCAAGATCTAGAGAACAAATGGAAATCTATAAATTCAGATCAAACAGGCATTGTCGAAGATGGTTCAGACAGTAATGGTGATTTACTATCAGTCACCGCAGATATGAATTATCCTACTGACAAATAGATATTGGATTCTGGATGTTCTTACCACATGTGTCCGTATAAGGAATGATTTGATACTTATAAACCCTATAATGGAGGCACTGTTATAATGGGTGATGATATAGTTTGCAGTACCATTGGGATTGAAACTATTAAAATTAAAATGTTTGATGGTATGGTAAAAACACTAGGTGATATACGACATGTCCCTGACCTAAAAAAGAATTTAATTTCTTTANATTTGATACTTATAAACCCTATAATGGAGGCACTGTTATAATGGGTGATGATATAGTTTGCAGTACCATTGGGATTGAAACTATTAAAATTAAAATGTTTGATGGTATGGTAAAAACACTAGGTGATATACGACATGTCCCTGACCTCAAAAAGAATTTAATTTCTTTAGGTNTCTTTTGCGACAACAGGTGGGGTCTTAAAAGTTGTTAAGCGGGCCATAGTTGTCATTAAAGGGAAACGACAGGGTAACTTGTATACATTGGAAGGGAGTACTATTAGAGGTGGAGTAGCTGTGACAACTCTGTTGGATCCAGGTACTGATGACACTACTCTATGACATTTATGCCTTGACCATGTGAGTGAAATATGACTGTAGGAATTTCACAGACAAGAGCTACTTGATGGGATACAAGTTTGTAAATTTATTTTTGCAAATATTGTTTGTATGGTAAACAATGTAGGGTGAGCTTCAAGACTAAGAAGCATACAAGCAAGGATGTGTTGGAGTACATATACTCAGATGTCTGGGGACCCGTGCCAATTTAATCCAAGGTGGAGTAGTATATTTTGTGACATTTATTGTTGACTTCTCCAGGAAAGTATGAGTCTACTTCAAGAAGCACAAAAAAGAAGTGTTCGACAAGTTCAAGTAATGGAAAGTCAAAGTTGAAAAACAAACAGGTAAGCCAGTCAAGTACCTATGGACGGACAATGACACAAAGTATAAACTCTAGGAATTCAAGACATTTTGCTAGACCGAAGGGATTACTCGACATTATACTACACCAGGTGGGTCACAACAAAATGATGTAGTGGAAAGAATGAACATGACCCTTTTAGAAAAAAACAAGAAGTATGAGACTTTTTGTAGGTTTACCAAAATCATTTTGGGTTGAGGTTGTTAACATGACATGCTATATTGTTAACAGGTCACCGTGTTCAGCTATTGATGCAAAAGTCCCTGATGNTGGGTTGAGGTTGTTAACATGACATGCTATATTGTTAACAGGTCATCGCGTTCAGCTATTGATGCAAAAGTCCCTAAGGAGGTGTGGACAGGTGAACCAGTTGATTATTCTAATTTAAAAATATTTGATTGACCTGCCTATGTTCACGTGCAGGAGCAGAAACGATCAAAGTTAGACCCAAAGTCGAAACAATGCACATTTATTGGCTATTAAAAATGCGCGAAAGGATACAAACTTTGGGATCTAGTTGCACAGAAGGTTGTAATAAGTAGGGATGTTGTCTTCAATGAAGAACATATGTTGAACTTAAACAGGGAAGATGCTGATAAGCAGGTGGAGGCTCATGTAGAAAAATTCTTAGTCTAGATAGAGACAGATGAAACACAATGGCCCAGTGAAGAGGACGATGTACCAACATCCTCTCAAGAAAATACATCTAGTAGTGATGATGAGCAACAAAAATCCACAACTCTAACTACTGGAATAGAGAAAAGAACTCATAAGGTATCATTCAGGTATGGTTTTGAGAATATGATTTCTTTTGCATTGGTTGTTGGTAGTCGAGATCTATCTTCTTTTTAGGAGGCTGTCAATGACAAAGAAAGTGAAAAGAGGATGATAGCAATGAAGGATGAGAAGAAGTCTTTACACAAAAACAACACTTGGGAGCTTGCTAAAAAAGCCAAGAGGCAAAAGGTAATTGGTTGCAAATGGGTATATCAAAAAAAGGAACCTNTGGCTCAGCACCTGTAATCTCATCAGTACTAACAACAGGTGCATCAATATGCTCAACAAACTGAGAAGTATTACCTACATCGCCTGAGGTAGAGGGGATATCAGTAGGGTGATGAGAGCGAGGACAACGACCATACACCTGCAAAGGAAGAGAGACTAGTAACTCTATACTGACAGGGATGAGTGACTCCTTTGGAGGAAAAACGGATGACCCTGTAGGGATAGTGATCAATGACTCTAACTCTTGTGGTAATGGAAAATCAAAGGGAGTATCATCAACTGGAGGAGCAGACAAAGGACTGAAAGGAAAATAAGGAATATGCTCAAGAAAGGTAACATCTAGACTGTGATACATACGACGCCTAATAGGATCATAACATCGATACCCCTTAGATTGATGACAATAGCCCACAAAGATACAACGAATCGCTTTATCATCAAGTTTATGACGAGTAGGAGACCGATCCTGAACAAAACATGTGCATCCAAAAACACGAGGGGGGACCGGAAAAAGTGTCCGCTCAGGAAATAAGACCTGTAAGGGAGCCTTATGCTGAAGAACACGACTCGGCGTACGATTGCACAGAAAGGTAGAAGTCAAAACAGCAAAATGCCAATAAGATTTTGGTACCCTCATGCCTCTAAGCAGACAACGTACCATCCCTATCAAACTCCTATTTTTCCTCTCAGCAACACCATTTTGCTCAGGAGTATATGGACAAGTGAGTTGCTGAAGGATACCCTGAGAAGAAAGGTGAGACACTAAAGCATCAGACACATATTCTTTGGCATTATCCGAACGAAGANGGAGAATAATATAGCTGATATGTTGACAAAGTCAGTGATTGCATAGAAGTTCAAGCATTGTTTGGACTTAATCAATTTTTTGCACTTTTAAAGATTGACGAGACATCCCAAGGCGTGGGGATGGGCATTTTAAATTGAGATACGGGCCTGAAGTTTTAGGTGGAGGTTATGAAATTTTCACTAAGGAGGGATTGGTTGGTAGTGGCTCAAATTTTTGTTTTGATTGGTTTGGTGACATCATTGCTAAAAAGACCTGTTTTGATTGGTTAGGTGACATCATTGCTAAAATCTTGTTGAAGGATACAAGTGTAACAATTTCATTGCTTGAATGAGATAAGAGTTCCTTTGTAATTGATTAGATTATGTCATTACTACAATCTTATAGAAGGATACAAGTGGAACAATTTCATTGCTTGAATGAGATAAGAGTTCCTTTCTAATTGGTTAGATGATGTCATTGCTACAATCTTATTGGAGGATACAAGTGGAGCAATCAAATGCATTGCTTAAATGTAAAGAAGTTCATTTGCCCCAACCTTGAGATGCATATAAATAGGCATGAGTCTCTTGTTTTTGAGATCATCTTGAAAATTGTATTTGTTCAATTTTCATTATCTTGTTGAGAGTGCGAGATGTTTTTTTTACTAGGGGTTTGACAGGGTATGGTTGAGTGGGTTGTACAAGGGTTTTTTTTTTTTTGGGAGGGAGACTTGAACCCTTGACTTCAAGAAGACAAAGTATTCGTAAAGTAAGGAATGTCGTTGGACAAGGAGTTAAGGGCTTGGGTTTGTGTTTTAAACCTGAGTGGTCAGGCTTGTATTATTGTATCTATTCTCTCTCAATAATAAATAAAGGAGGTCGGATCACGCCTTGTGAACGTAGACAAAGCAATTTTGCCAAACCACGTAAATTTTGGTATTGTGAATTATGCTTTGATTTTCTTATTCCGCTTATTTATTTTCTTGTCGTTGTACAGATCAAATTGCTACGAAGATTAATTCCCAACAATTATGTATATATAACCTTTCCTAGATCCTATTGCGATGAACCTATCATGGATTGTGTTGCCTCTGTTTTTGGGCAACGGAGCAATTTTTTTGTATATTAACAAGGATACCTCCAACTTGATTCATGGCCATATTACATTTTCTCCTTCAATAATGAGCTATTCGCAATTCTCAACTTAAATTAATCGTAAATATCATGCATCATTACATTTGTTGATCCAACTAAGTGAATTAATCAAGTGCCTATTAGTTTCATTCGTTGGATTGAAAGCAAACTCTAGAGATATAAAAATTTACTATTAAACCAACCACATTAATAAAATAGGCCATCAAATTAGACTAATGAATTAGGAATAAATAAAAAATAAATTTTTTTTTTTTTTGGCTTTTCGAGATAGTAGTAACAAAGAGAAGTTACAAACGAATAAAAATGACATTGTATTTTTACCAAAAACCCTAACTTCATTTCCTTTATCAAAAAATCCTAGATTTAACTGAAAACTGAGGTAGCACAACTGAACTTGGGCATACCTAAAAACTACTAGAGAATAGAAAAAAAAAAAAAAAACACTGGCAAAAAGAAGAAGCAAATCCCGCGACTAATCATCAATGAAACAGAGAGCAGCGGCATGGACTAGGTCTCTTGTTGTTCGTCGAGTTCCGAGCCCACCAATTCTTGAATATCTCCGATCTGTGATTTCGACATGAGGGATATGTGCAATTTTCGAGTATCGTCCAAGTTCTACATATTCATTCCAAAGGGTCTCAATCAATGAGTCAGACATACCAATTAGGCGAAACTTTCCAAGGTTGTGTAGATGTTCGATTCCCAATGGTAGCTCCTCTAAGTTATGACAGAGGATAATGGATAGGTCTACAAGATGAGGCAGGGCGCCCTGCTCTACTCTCAACCATCTCAACTCTTTTAATTTCTGAAGAAATAACATTTTGAGCCTAGGAAACCCTCCAGCCTTGAAGCACAATTCCTCTCCTTCATAGGCCTTCGAGAATTCAAGGGATAGGAGATTTGGCAAATCTTGTAGGCATTGCATTGGGTCGTCCCTTAAGCAGCTCTGTACGAAGCTTACTCTAACCAAACTATACAGACAAGATATCCAGTGTGGTACTCTCTCAAGAGGTCCATGTAAACATAGCTTTTGTAGAAATGGAGGACCTGAAGGAAAAGATTGTAGATCAATGATGTCAGTTGACTGAATAGCTAGTGAGCAAAGGTTGCTCAACTTTTGAAGGGACAAGCATAGGGCTACTCCATCTTCTCTTTTCAAATCCGCAATGGTTAAAGTCTTTAGATGGGTAAGCTTCTCTATTTCTTCCGTTACAATATTTCCATTCCTTTTGTACGCCTTGATTGTATAAAGCTTTTCAAGGGATGACAAATTTCCTATTTCCGCTGGGATTGTACAATTCGAAGGCCCCTGTTTCCCACCCACATAGAGACGTCTAAGTTTTTGAAGTTTTCCTATTTGAGCAGGAAACTCAACCACATTGTTATGGCTCAGATCCAAGATCCGGAGCTTCTCAAGGTTTCCTATTGCATCAGGCAAATAAGACAAATTGTTCATACTCAGAATCAAGGTCTCTAGGTTTCGAAGCATTCCGACAGATTTTGGAATGGTTTCCAGATTACAGTGTATCATGGTTAAAGACCTGAGGTGACGTAGTTTAGAAACGTCATCTGGGAGTGTGTTGAACTCAGTATGTCTTATATCTATAACCTTCAGCAACTTACAACGACCAACTAAGAGTGAAAGTACACGTAACCTGCATTCTTGATGACTCCCAGGAAAAATTATCAGAGAGCGAAGTGGACAAAGATGCTTGCTTTGTTGGTGTACATCTTTAACGTAGTGAACGGCCAAGTGTCGAACTTTATCTAGCCACATCACATCTTGTCCGGAGGAAATGGTTACAATATTATGCTCTTTCGACTTTGGAAGTGTGATTTCACGTAGAAGATCATGGATACGACATGTTATGGGTCTTCCCTCCAGTGATCTCCTTGCCACTTGAATTAAGCTTCTGTTCAGCAGTTCATTGAAATAGCCTGTGGCAACTTCTTCTGAAGTTTTTCTTTCTGTCTCTTGCACGAATTGCAGTGCTGTCCACAGTCGAATCACCTGTTTTTTTTCAATTTCATAATCCTCAGGAAAAATGCTCAAGTAAATGAAGCAAATTTTGAGATGGTAAGACAGATCATAGTAACTAAGAGACAATATTTTCTTCACTCTCTCATATTTGCCCGCACCTTCAAGTTCAATACTAAGGTCGCGCTGAACCATCTCCCACTCGTTTATTCTACTTTTGTCCTTCAAAGCCAATATGCCACCAATTGCAACAATGGCAAGTGGCAATCCCTCGCATTTTCTCAATATATTTCGTGACGGTCTTTCAAGATGTTGAGGGCAGCGTTTGTCTTCAAATGTCTTATTACAGAAAAGAGTCCAAGACTCGTCATCAGACAAAGCATTCATTTCATACTTGTAACCTCGGGATTCAAAGCATGAATCAGAAGCCACATCAACTACACGAGTTGTGAGCAGTACACGACTACCACAATTACCATCAGGCAATGCATACTTGATGGCATCCCATGCTTGTATGTTCCATATATCGTCTAACACGACCACATACCTGTACAAATAATTATAGATTTTACTTATAAATTTATGATTAGAGTTAGAAAAAATGACTAATGAATTTTGGCCAAAGCAATAATTATTAGAATTATTATGTGAATAAAATAGCTATGCGTGTTGTAATTTAAAATTAGAAATAAAGCATGCAAATAGTGGTTAGATCATTAAAATATAACATGTGATTTAAATGAATACATGCAATTTATATAAATTAAATAAATTTATTTGGAAAGAGCTGGTCTGCAAGTTCAAGAGACGTGTGATAACTGTCTTAAAACAATTGAGCCTCCTCACATGAGGGAACTGACGAACACCAGCGACTTTAAGATCCAACTGAAACACTAGTAGCACTTTCTCAATTGTCACGTTCAGGAGGGAAAGGTTGAAGTGAACCTGACTCGAATTAACTTGTCCAAAAATAAAATAATAGATAATAATTGAAAAACTAGGTCAAGTACAAAGAAATTGAAATAAGCAATTGAAAGGTCTCTGAAGTGGATTTCGTTGCAAGCCAAAAGATATTTCTAAGTACATGAATATTCAATTATTTTTTTTATCCGTTTGACNACTTATAAATTTATGATTAGAGTTAGAAAAAATGACTACTGAATTTTGGCCAAAGCAATAATTATTAGAATTATGACGTGAATAAAATAGTTATGCGTGTTGTAATTTAAAATTAGAAATAAAGCATGCAAATAGTGGTTAGATCATTAAAATATAACATGTGATTTAAATGAATACATGCATTTTATATAAACTAAATAAATTTATTTGGAAAGAGCTGGTCTACAAGTTCAAGAGACGTGTGATAACTGTTTTAAAACAATTGAGCCTCCTCACATGAGGGAACTGACGGACACCAGCGACTTTAAGATCCAACTGAAACACTAGTAGCACTTTCTCAATTGTCACGTTCAGGAGAAAAAGGTTAAAGTGAACCTGACTCAAATTAACTTGTCCAAAAATAAAATAATAGATAATAATTGAAAAACTAAGACAAGTACAAAGAAATTGAAATAAGCAATTGAAAGGTCTCTGAAGTGGATTTCGTTGCAAGCCAAAAGATACCTCTAAGTACATGAATATTCAATTATTTTTTTTTATCCGTTTGGCACATGCTTCTCAAGAATAGCCATAAAACCATTTTTTATACACACTAAATAGGACAAAAAAATTTGTAACTGAAATTCACACATAATTAAAATGAAAATTCAATAAAAGTTTTAAAAACTTAATTTTTATTCTTACAATACCTGCATTTTTGGAGGAATTCTTTGATGACTGCTTTTAACTTATCTTCATTCATGGTTTCCATTCTTTGAGGCAGTGCTTGCTTTATTTCATCATAGACTTGTTCAATCAAGTCCTTTAAGAGCTTGACAATGTCAAATGACTGTGAAACAGTGATCCAAGCATGGCTTTTGAATTGCATCTTCACTTGTGTATCCTCGAAGACTCTTTTTACCAGTGTGGTTTTGCCTAGTCCTCCCATTCCCACCACAGAAACCACTTTGAGTCGAGAATCGCCATCCAGAAGCCAACTAATGAGTTGTTGTTTGGGCTTCTCGATGCCCACAAGCTCAGCTTCTTCTAGGAGAAGTGCATCGCCTCGACCATCATAACATGTGTTGCTAATGACAGTAGAGCTTGAGCCTTGCTCTGGGATTCGATATCCCACTGGAACTTCCTTAGAAAGATCTTCGACTCTGGACTTGAGTTTTCTTAGTTCAGAAGCAATTTGGTGGCGAGCTTTTAGGTTCCCAAAAAAGCCAACCATCTTACATAGAAAACCATAGCAACCATCCCCATGATCATTCTCCAACCGAAGCATGAATTCGTCAAGAACATCTTCGATATCGTTTGCAACATCTTGGACTCGCAGCACTTGTTTTCGGAGTTGTTCATCAGTCTCTTTTTTCATATCGACATATCTCAAGAAGTCCTTCATTTTCTCCAATTCATCTCTGATGTGCTTAACTTCTTTCCCAACACCACCTAAAAGTCTTGCCTCTTCAATCAGCAAGGGCTTTAGCTGGTCGAGTAGAAAGGATATAGCATTCTCTGCCATTTTTCTCTCTTCACTTTTCTTAAGATGGCTTTTAGGTCTCTCAGCTCTCAGCTCAGAAGGTTTGAGGAAATGATTGAAGGACACGGCTAGAGGAAATGTTACAAAGTGACACTCCTCATTCAATTTGTAATAGATATCTACAACTAGGACAACATGAAAGTCTATGAGCAAAAATGTTATAAGCCTCGTCTTGTTTGTATCTTTGAAAAATGGTTCCCATCTCACTCCACCCTCTTATTTTATCACATCAAGTTGAAAGATAAGTTAAAAACAATGGTTGGTATAAGCTTTCACACATCAAGTTGTATAGGTTGAATTTTTTCCACATTTATGAATAAAAATAAGCTTTCACACTTGAAACTTTTTTTTTCCCTTATTTTGACGGAAGCGTGTGGTTGTCATCCCTACCACACTGACGGTCGTTGCATTCTTCCTTTTTTTTTTATTTTCTCTTTCACAATTGATGAATGCCTTTGCCACTAGAGACATGCCTTGTATTTTTAGGGAACAAAAAAAAATTTAAAATTACACAAAATAGATTAAACTTCTACAAATATTCTATGAACTTGTTTGATAGACGTATTATAGATGGATTAAAAATTTTATTGGACTATTATTTATTTAATCAGGCCTAATATTTTGTTTGATAGATAAATTTGATTCCGTATTAATTTAAAAAACGTACATTAATTGTATATTNGTGTGGTTGTCATCCCTACCACACTGACGGTCGTTGCATTCTTCCTTTTTTTTTTTTATTTTCTCTTTCACAATTGATGAATGCCTTTGCCGCTAGAGACATGCCTTGTATTTTTAGGGAACAAAAAAAAATTTAAAATTACACAAAATAGATTAAACTTCTACAAATATTCCATGAACTTGTTTGATAGACGTATTATAGATGAATTAAAAATTTTATTGTACTATTATTTATTTAATCAGGCCTAATATTTCGTTTGATAGATAAATTTGATTCCGTATTAATTTAAAAAATGTATACTAATTGTATACTTATCTTATATTTTTAGTACTATAGACCTATATTATAAATATATTTTAATACCACCAGGAGAGGTGGTATTATAATTTATCTCAAATGTATTATTGTACACATTTACTATTTTAATCTCATAACTGATAAAATCAATCTGTCATCAATGTAATAATCATTGATTGAGAGTGTTTTTGTTAATTCAACATTAATACCAAGAAATAATGTCCTAACCAAACAACCGATTAGATTATATAATTACTATCCAACACTTATACTATGTATTGTCAAACACTAAATAAAATTACGTATTATTCTAATATCGTATTTAATCTTGTTTTTTATCTATCTATATTGTATTAGATTATATTCTNCAAGAAATAATGTTCTAACCAAACAACCGATTAGATTATATAATTACTATCCAACGCTTATACTATGTATTGTCAAACACTAGATAAAATTACGTATTATTCTAATATCGTATTTAATCTTGCTTTTTATCCATCTATATTGTATTAGATTATATTATGTTATCTAATCTATCCATTTCTAATACAACAACCAAATAGCCCCATCTATACAAGAGTTGGTTCAATAAATGCAAGGCATTTCTTACCTTTGAGGATATTTAAAGGTACTGTATTTATACACGAGTGGTACGAATTTGTGTAACACATCATCTTTTGTTGGGTGATATATATATATATATAGTGTTGATAGAATTACCAAAAAAAATTATGGCAAAGGACATGAGTACAATTTTATACAAAAACAAGGGATCTCGTCGAAGTTTTGGTCATTTATGAGTGATGTGGTTGGAAGTTTTTAAAGAAAACTGTTTTTATGAAAATGTAATTCGGATGTGTTTTTTAACATAAAAACTTGTTTTGAACTCATGTTTTCACGCTAAAAAATAGTGAATTTTCATCCCATTATATTGAAAAATAGTTTTAAAAAATTCCAAATCTTGATAATTTACAAACTAAATCTGAACTTAATTTGTGTAGGTTAAGTATTTCCTGAAATTGGAAGAAAGATGAAGGTATTGTTTTGTAACACTTTTTGAAAATACTTTCTTTTCAAAAGTATAATTTGTTTTTGGATTTTAATTTTTTTATATTATATAATATAATATACAATGAACATATACAAACAATATAATTTAGATTTTAAAAGTTGTCAAGTCTAAGGGTAGGTTTGTAGTTTTTAAAAGTTATCTTTTGTGATGTNTATGGCAAAGGACATGAGTACAATTTTATACAAAAACAAGGGATCTCGTCAAAGTTTTGGCCATTTATGAGTGATGTGGTTGGAAGTTTTTAAAGAAATCTTTTGGGATGTCATTATCTTTTGGATTATTAAAAACGGTCTCTAACAATGGAGGTCTAATAATTCAAGTAAAGAGATAAATTTAAAAAGTTGAGTAATAAACAAAAATATGCCCCACACGTTATGATCCATATTTATTTTACGTCATTGCTTACAACACAACTTTTGTCGTACTCGTTTAAGCTGTGGAGTGTTCCACCAAATTGCAAGTGTTTTGAAATTTTATTTTATTTAGTTGCAATTTATTTCTTAATTTCTTATTGTTTTTAGGAAAATGTAATTGGGATATGTTTTTTAACATAAAAACTTGTTTTGAACTCATGTTTTCACGCTAAAAAATAGTGAATTTTCATCCCATTATATTGAAAAATAGTTTTAAAAAATTCCAAATCTTGATAATATTCAAAATAAATCTGAACTTAATTTGTGTAGGTTATGTATTTCCTGAAATTGGAAGAAAGATAAAGGTATTGTTTTGTAACACTTTTTGAAAATACTTTCTTTTCAAAAGTATAATTTGTTTTTGGATTTTAATTTTTTTATATTATATAATATAATATACAATGAACATATACAAACAATATAATTTAGATTTTAAAAGTTATCAAGTCTAAGGGTAGGTTTGTAGTTTTTAAAAGTTATCTTTTGTGATGTCATTCTTTTTTTTTAGATTATCGAAAACGGTTATTAACAATAGAAATAATTTCAAAAACTATTTTAAGTACTGTTTGTTTTTGCAATTTTTTTTCTTTATAGATTTTTTTTCCTTAAAAAGAGATGCAACATGAGAATTTTCTAAGGGGTTACCCATCTTAATACTACTTTCACTTAAGCACGCTTAACTGCAGAGTTCGATGTGATTTGGTGCATTAGTATTGGTATAATCGCACCCTTTTTTCTTTATAGTGTAATATACAAAAAAAATCTATTAAGGGTATAATTTAGATACCAAAATGCATATAGATCATTTCACAGAGGAGTAATTAAATACCTTTTTTTTTTTTTTTTGTTATTGCTAAAAAAGCGTCACCAAACGACACCGAAGCTTTCACAAACTTTCAACTTTTTTTTTTTTGACTTTGTGGTCGCCATCCGTTNACTTTCAACTTTTTATTTTTTGACTTTGTGGTCGCCATCCGTTATTACGTGTGGTCCCTTGTTTTTTTTTTTTTTTTATTGCAATTTTCCTTCTCATCTTTTCCCGTTTCCCGTTACTAAGGTTCGATTGGGTAGGAAAAAAAATAATAAAAAATAAAAGTGGTAGAAAGTGACGTGAAATAAAAAAAATAATAAAAATTATATTTTTATACATATATTTGATTAGAATGAAAAATATACAGGAAAATTTTAAAAAAATTTTATGCTATTGTTTGAAATAAAGGAAAGTTACAAGAATTTTTTTATAATTGTTTAAATTATCCTTAATTATATTAAATCGGTCTAAAAAAATATGTATTATAATTAGAAGTTAAATTTTTTTTAAAAAATGGCTCGAAACATAATTGTAGGACAATCACCAATACAAAAGTTTTTGAACCAAATTATATAATTAATCAAATTCACACCAATTTTTTTTTAAATTAATAACTAATAAATTTTTTTAAGAAAAATAAGGATAAAATAAAAAGTTAACTATAAATTACAACTTTATTGTATTTTTTTGTGTTTTTTACAAGAAAAAAAAGTTAGTCGTAAAAAAATTCAAGCATAAAAAAAAAATTATTTTTTCTATTATTTTTCTATTCATACTAATCAAACATATGAAAATTTTAAAATTTTTTTCTTTCTTGCATTTTCAATTATTCTCCCATTAAATAAATGAACCCTAAAAAATGATTCTCACCTCGAAGGTTTCATCAAGATGGCAGATCAGACAAGATCGATTGCCTTAGACGAGAGAGAGAGAGAGAGAGAAGAGGCGCAAAAGATAGAAGAGATGGATAGTGGCTGGGTGCAAAACGATAAAGGCAAAAAATGCCTAAATAACTCCAAAACCTAGTATTTATGGTATTTGAAGCTACCGGCCTGGTTTGTTTTAAATCATTTGGTTCATAGATTTTGTTACAAAATCTGTTGATTTAGCTGGTTTTGTCTGGTTCTTTTGCTCAAACGATTCAATAACTAAACGGGTATGGCTCAGGCTCAGGCTCCGGATCACTGGTGGTGTCAATCTGTCGGGTTGGGCAATGTTTTAAAACACTGTTTGAGAATCCAATTATGACTAAAAATGTTCTTCCAATTGGGCATTCATATTTTTTTATAAATTATATTAACAGATATCAACGACAAGGAGTTACGTGTTATACGTATACAAACGTCAGGAGGTGTAGGAGTAATATTCTAAATGTGAGAGGTCCAAATGATTAAGTGACAAGTATGAGGGAATATAAGTATAATTTATCCATTAGTTTTAGATGACAAAGTAACAGTTATTTGTTTCAGGTGCACATTAATATAAATTTTTATCTTTAAAGGTGTAAATTAAGATTGCTGATCTTTTTGGGTACAAATTAAGATTAACCTTTGCAAAAAAATAAAATGGTTGAATCGTGGACAAGAAAAGAAGAAAATAATTTTAAGAAAATAACTTAAAAAACACCCTCATATTACCTAAAATTTAGTGTTTTGTTGTTTAACAATGCTAACGGGATTAATATGTTTATATTTATACTCTTAATGGTAAATAGAAGGAAAAATATATTTTTGTTTATATCATTATTTCTATCACTCATTGAATTATTTAGATTAATTTGTGACTTAATACAGTGGTGTACAAATGTTGAAATTTTTTTGAAGAATTATATTTTGAATTCTTTTTTGTCAATTTGTTTTTTTTTTAAATGGGTAAAAATTAATATAATTAGAGAAAGAGCAGAAAAAAATTATTATTTGATACTAAGGTCAATATTTTGAATGCTCTCTCTCTCTCAACTATAAAACCCGATACAAAGCATCACTACATGTGAAAGCTGAGCAGCAACTTGAGAAAAAGAAGAATAAAACAAAAACTTTCAGACTTTAATTTTTTTATTTTAATGAAAGTTGGCTGTCCCCATCCCCCACCCACCGATACTGGTTGTTGTTTTTTTTTCTATTTCTCGTAATTCATGAATCTCATTGCTTGACTCTTGATTTAGATTTTGATCTGTATATGCTATTGACGGATAGAAAGCATCTCTCTTTTATTCTTTTTGATCGAACTTGGCCAAAAAATCACAATAAAAAAGTGGATCTTGACACCCCAATCATAATGTTACCCATGTCCTTTTTTTTTTTTTAATTTCATAATAATTGACAAGTTTCACTATTGAAAATTAAAGCGGAGACACACCATCTGCTAGCATTGTAATTTGAAATCGATTCTTTATCACTGGGCCACCCTTTCTTAGAACCTTGCCAATGATCCAACTGTCCACTAATTCAATGGCCTTTATTAAGATGGTGCTCAAAAGTGATGCAAGATAATAGTGTATATAACATTGTTATTTACTTTCCGACTGAAAACATTGTTATTTTCTTCTTTTTTTTTAAATGCATTTTGAGTGCCTAGTCTATATGGAAGTTTTCTTTCGGGTGGTAAGATTTTGGTAGGGATTAAATGAGATAACATGCAAAGTTTTTGAGTAAATAGGGTTTAGTTATAACCTCAAACTGTGGTTTTAATGAGATTAAATTACGATTAAAAAGATTAAATTATGATTAAAAAAATTAGAATCGACTCTAATTAAGATGTTAAGATTGATAATAAATGTTATTAATTTTAATACATAAAATTGATCACAAACAACTATTTATTAATTTTAATTTCATTACACTAAATTATAATTACCTTCATATTCTAAATTAAACTTATCCTACTTCCGGACATGTAGAAACTTATCTAATCATTTTTTTGTTATACTTGAATTTAATCTTTAATTTGCAGGAATTGGCTAGTCTATGAGGAGGCTGGCACTAACTGTGCCTGTGTTATTATTGATGATGCACAAAATGTGCTTATACATCACCTGTCAAGTATTTAATGCAGTAATTAAGAAGAGAATCAATACAAGCAAATACAAATTAAGTGGTTTAGTTAGTGTAATTTACTTCACTACGAAAGACTACGGTGACTTTAGTGTTTTATTCATCAAGGAGTGTAGAGTGCTCAGATGTGAGTGATGTCCCACATATGCAGGCGGGACTTACAATTTATAGGCAAGTAAAGTTGGCTCCGAGAGACTATAATTGAGGTGCCATCCTCGTAACTGATTTCAGGATGCTTGTTTTATCCTCGTAATGGGCGAGGTGATAGGGGGTGATTTCTTGAAGCTCGCCTTATCTCGTAACGGGTGAGGTGATCTCGCGAGACTAGCAATGTGCCCCCGATGATTGTGTCCCCACGGATTCCCTCTCATTCGGATGAAGATTCTCACATGCACTAATAATGGGCCGAGTCTTTTAGGAAGGTGGGCTTGACCTAACTAAAATTGTGACTGAGCCTTTGTTGGTCTGTATGATCTAGGCCTACTCTGGGCCGGTTCTATAATTATTATTATTATTATTTCTGCTAGTAAGGAATAGCTCGAAATAATGGTCCTAGTTTTAATTGAAATAGTGATCATAGTTTTAATTGAAGCATCATAGTTCCTTAACCTTTGCCGATTGATTTACAAAAAAACCATTTGAGCCATAGGCCAATAGGTTGCTTGATGAGAACAATGTAAATAAGCTAACAACCCACACGGGTTGATTTGTTGGCTGAATAATAAGTGATACGTAAATTCCATGTTCAGAGTTTGAGTCTTTTTAGTCATATAAAATTGATAGACAAGATATGTTAATGACTATGTTCATCTGAAATTATGTTTTAAGCATGATTCCAAAAGATGATTTTACTTTTATTCCATGTTAATGACTATGGCCAATATAGGTTGCCAAAAGAAAGTGTCTATTTTTATCCATTTGTTTTCAATTCTTGATAGGGTATTGCACGAATTTTTTTAATCTTATGAGAAATTTTTATTTGGGTTTTGCCAGCATATGGATTGGGGATTTTTTTGTTATGAGGGTTTTATGAGTGGTGAGTTTGATTCAAAGAAAAATGAGCATTGCTTTTGGTTTTTAGTTCACGGGGTAGGTGTGTCAATCTAAACACAACAATTATGAGTAAGTTTGGTTTGGTTAGTTCCCGACACTTAAAATGATTACTCAAATAAATTGAATCAATATAGACTTGTTTTACGCACAAACTAAAAATGTTACGATACAATTTAATTGACATACTCAACTATCATGTGCCATATTCTTTTATTGGAACTATGACGTGCCAAAAAAAAAAAAACACGGGTACAATGGACAGCCAGACATAAAATGGGGCCTAAAGTGAAAATTTAAATGAGATCTTATTATTTTTTAATATAAATTTTATGATTTAAATCATTGTACAATATTATTTATATTATTGTCTTTTGAGAGGTAAAACAATTTATCAGTTTTTTGTATTCAAAGTTTATTAACATGTTTTTTTTTTCAATAGATAGTATAGTTAATTCAAATAAACTGCTATACCTGATATAATTCTAAGATACAATTTTACTAGATTTATGTTTATATAATCAATTAAAAGAAATAAAATAATACATAATAAAACTTAAGCTAAATATCATAGACTCAAATGGTATTTTAGTTTTAAGCTAAATATCATAGACTCAAATGATATTTTATGTTATTATTAACAAAAATAAACAAATTCTCAACAAACTCAAATCAAATATAAAAAACTCTAATTTTTTTTTGGATACTAAAATAAATAGATTTAGTTAAACCTCTATAAAAATGGAAAACTAATAATTTGGGGGCCTAAAACGACGCGATTGCAATGACTATACCTACCCTGCACGTGAAAA